AAGCGGAATTGCCTTTTCAACAGGAGCTGAACCTTCTATTCACCTTTAGGATGTGGCTTCACAGTTGAGTGATCTCATTCTGACTTTTTGATGAAAGAAGCGGTCCTACTGCCTCCCTGGTATCAGCCCTGTTTAAACAAACCTTGCTCAAAATTACTTGTTCGAATATGTAGTCATGGGGTTACTAGCATCGACACGAGGAAGATAAATCACATTAGGAGTTGAAATGCGAGTTTGGCTTTCTTCTGTAGCTTGCGATGGGGCCCCAGATAGAGTGTTGTTAATGAGCTAGTGGGGACTACATGCAGCTCTCTGCTCATTGTCTGCTAACAGCAATTTAAGTCTTGACTGGAGCCTCTTTCCTTTGATATTCCATGATCATTGATTTTCCTTTGAACACTGAGTCATTTACCCTAGTCTTCTCCCTGTTAAAGGATGAGCTAATGTGATTATAAAAATAATTTTTTTTTCTGTGATCAGCAAAACAAGTGAAGCCTGGTTTCCTGTGGACTTGTCCTGATGTGGCACTGCTGTGTGGATTCTCTTATGTATATTAAGCAGTGTGTGCACACGCTTGCCATTTTATCAGTGCCGGCTTTATTAGGGTCCGTTTCATCGATTTGGCTTTGCATTTGACAGAAGTTACCTCTGTACAAATTTAGATGGAATTGGGCAATGGCTTAAACATGTTTTTTTGGCAAGGAGAGGGGGGAAGAGAGAGGACCCACAGGCAGAAACACCAACAGACAGTGTAATTGCATAAGCCTTCTTTCCTTAGGAAATCAGGCTAAAAATGAGTCTTCTGACAGAGACCTCTGCAGAGATCTCTGATCAGGCTACAGAGGCAGAAGGAAAAAAATAAGTCTTGCTGTTTACCATGTAAAGGCTTCCAGGTACCTGCTGCAACAGATTTCTCCTAAGTAAGGCTATGCCAGCAGTTGGTGTTTATTCACTCGGTTACCTTCTCATCTTCAGCAATGTCCCCATCAGGCTTTGGGAACTTGTTTTTTTGCCAGAGTGCACTCATGCATCAGTTGCTTTCATTTATTTTTAATTTAACCTTTATACTTGAATAAATGGCTATGTAGGTAGTAAGACAAGCTGTTAAAAGAGACTAGTGGTTTACAGGACTCTGTTTATATCAGTGATGCCATGAAAAATAAAGGCTTTAAATGCAGCCAAGGATACAATCCTGCTATTGTAGAAAAGCTAAACTTGGGGGTTCCATTATATAGCATCTTCTCTGTAAGACTTTCACTGTGTGAAAAATGCTGAGGTATTTTATTGGTTTTTTCTCTCTTTTGTAACTTTACACTAAACTCCTATTACCTTAGAAACTAAAATAAACAATTGGTAAAAGGAAAAACTGGCCTATTTCAGATTTCTGGGCAGATGCCAGTTTATTACAGATGAGTCCAGCTACGAACAAACTTTGCAGATTTGTTCAGATTTGGTGGTTATTCTGAGCTCATCTTGAGCTCTGATAGAGTTCTCTTACAAATGCCTTGCCTACCCCGTAACAGGGTGGCTGGAGCCCAGCCACATCGGCTTCTTGGGTCTCCTTCCAGTCACCTGGGCCTTGGAATAAGTCTGTTGTGTCCCCAGATGTTAACTTTTTTCCTTGAACTAGTTTACAGCTGGATCAGTTCCCTGATTCTCTGACCCTGTCATTACAGAAATGCTGGTGCTGGAGCAAGGGAGCAGGGAGCGAGCAGTCCATCAGGTTGAACGGGAAATGCGGGACTCCCCTTCCAAGTGGCCATCCAGGTTTATGCTAGATTACAATGACCAGGTAAACCAAAGCGTTAGACGTTGGGGGTGTGAAGGGAGGAGGGAGGGAGAGAAGGAGGGAGAACATGTCCATCTGACTGTGGGAACTCAGTTATAGCCAGACCCCTCCAGCTTTTTCTCCTGAGTATACATCTGATTCACTTTTCTCCTGAGCACGAGTTGTGTGACAAGCTTCAGAGTAGGGTTGGCTCCTGCTTGGTGACCTCCATTTCAGCTGGTCAGCTGTGTCTGCTGCATCGGATCCTAGGGGATGGACGGAGAGGCTGTCGCCGGGTTGTGACTGTAAGGGAGATGCAGACCTTCCCTGCGGAGGAGAATGAACCAGAGCAAGACGTGTGAGTTACTGTGGTGTGTGACATTGCAGTGCTTTGTAACCCCCAGTGGATAAATATAAAAATGGATAAAAATTGCTTCACTGTGAGCAAGATCAAGGGTGTTTGCAGAAAGACTTATATGGAAGCTGTAACTCTCGGGTATAAAGCATCTGTATGTTCAAATTGCAGACACAAGTCAGTGGAAAACAAACTTTCCCGATGTGGCCCGACCACCAGTGAGACCTGACATGATCACACCATCCTGGGCTTAGGCCAGGTCCTTAGAACAAGCGGCTGTTGAAGCCTTCATGGCCTCGTCATCTTACTTCTGATAGGGAGAGGGCCTTATTTGCCCAGAGAAGCGTTCTTCTAGAAACCAGCTGTGTTCCTTGTTTGCTGTCAGTTGGTCCCTACCTCATTCCCGAGTTAAAAAAAAAAAAAGAAAGGGCGGGGGGGAAAAGTGAGTATTCACCTACAGACAGAAAAAAATACTGCTTCTATAGAGATTTTTTTCCCTGATGACAGCCATTAGCTGCTTTGTTGCAGCCCCTGGACAATCTGTCTGCTAAATGCCAGGTCTCTGCCAGGGAGAGCCTCCTACCCTGATGATTACATTACGAGTGGCAAAGTTAAAACAAAATGAAATTTGATGCCGACTGTCGAATTGCCAGAGCAATTTAAAGCAGTATTTCCTGTGGTTGCGGAGTCTCCTTCAAACAGATGCAACTAGCTGGGATTCTAACAGCGCCAAAATCGGGAAATATTGGGAATTGCAAAGGAATTGGAAGAAATTTGGTGCTCAGATCCCTTTCAGTTGCAATGGAATTTGGGCTGGAAATTTGTTTGCTGTTTGACAGTCTCGGCCTCAAGACTTGGCAGTGATAACCCCGAAGCCGGCAGCTGGCTGTACGGTCATCGGCTGCGCGTGGTGGCGTCACAGTTCTGACGTTCACGCTCGTTCCCCGGACGCGAGCTTTGCCATAATTATGCCTCTGTTAAAGTCTTAACCCTTCCCACCTGATCTGTCCCTCTCTGCTCTCTCCCAGTTTGCCACTGTGCAGCTGGCTACGATTTGCGTTTTATTTTTCCCGTCTGCCTCTGTTCTTTGCGTTCCCTTCCCTCTGCCGCCTCTTCCCCGGCTCCCGCTTCGCCTCCCCGGCGCCCAGGGCTGCGGCTGCCCCGCGGGGGTCCCGCTCCGGCCCTGGGGGCCGGCTGCCCCAC